AAGTCATAGTTCTGGAAAGACAGACTTAGATAATTTTTAAACTCCTTCACAAAAAAAAACAACACTCATTAGTTTAAAAATCCAAACTGTAAAATAAATATCAACACAATCTCACAGCTTTCATCATATGACACATTACACTGCTTCCCCCAACCCTCCAATCAACCTGGAATACTTGCCTCACTCTTACCTTCCATAGGAGCTGTCAGAGAGCCTTGCTGTGCTGCAGGTCATTTAAATCATAGAACAGTGCAAAGTGACTGCCACAAAAAGGACGTAAGAGCCGTGGGTATAATGAAGACTTTCTTTGCTGATGGATTCAAAATTCCTGCAGAGGTACGTAGCAGGAGGCCTCCATCCAGGAATCTTCAGTGCACAAGATGTCTAAGGGTACATGGGTAATTTCTAATCTGATCAGGGTGGGAAACTGAAATTCCAACCCTGATTGGAATAGCTGGGCCAATAACATTTTAAAAATCAAGCTATTATAATAGACAATGCAGCAGCTTAGTTGACAGATTCTATCAGCATAGTTCACTACATCAGACGCTCTGTCGTTTTCATCTGCTTTAGACAATCTTACACAGCCACCTTTAGGAATACAATTTCCTTGCATATGAAACTCACCATTACTGCACTAGAAATGTTCATAGTTTAATTTGTGGTTAGTGGCCAGCACTAGTGTTTCAAACTGCAAAATTAGGTGTATTAATTTAAATGCCATTACTCAAAAGAGCTGTCACAGGCAGTAGTCTTTAATTTCTGATGCAAGAGTTTATGGCTCATTATACAAAAATTGTACAGGTAACTGTTTTAGATGTTCTCAAATTACAGATTAAGGAAAACAAATTAAAGTCAAATCAAGTGGTGAACAGACTGCGCTTGGCCTTTCACATAGGAATTATTAGTATACAACATTATTGTTTTCTTGAAAGTGAACAACTTATTCCCAAAGTCCTGCAACATAGAATATATTGCTTTTGAATGCTGGCGATAGTTTATCATCCTCACACAGGATGCCATCAGACATCTGTTTGCGGCCTTCTTAGATTGTTGATTTCTAACCTCCATTAAACCAAAGTAATAACTTATCAGTTGTCACATTCAGAAGGCATACAAATTTGAAGTCACATCTCTGAATTTTCAACCTTATGCAAAAATAGCCTTCCTTTGTACAGAATTATGCACTTAACAATAGAATTCTCAAATTGGAACGAGTCTGCACAAATTCCAAAATAGGGTGCATCTGTAAAAATTTATTTTACTTGCACCAATGAAGATGAGCAGAGGTAATGCTTTCACTTGTTAGTTCCCCTCAACAATATTCCTCAAAAACAAATCAATGGATTTCAATGAAACTCTGTAATACAGTTAGGAAAGAGCACAAGAAAGAAACAAAATGCTTTATTTTGGTGAAGATGCAGTTCAGAATCCTGGAGGTTTTTTTTTTAAAAAAGAATCTGTTAACATTGGAAGTCAGAACTTCTGTTGATTGTTGATTGTTGGGGATCATCTCAGCTACTATGGTGACATTTGTGCAGGTTGTTGGATGTGAATTAGCCTACAGACTCTCAGTGAAATAGAAGTTCTTAATAATTAAAGGCTTTTTTAAAGCTACAAAGCATCAACTAGGCAGAAGAAAAGCTGAAAGGATGAACTGTATAATTGTAAAATGTATTATCTTGCATAGTAGAGGTATTCATGTACAAAGTGCCCTCCATTTGTTGGCAGCTGTTTTTGAGACAGTGTCAAAAGAAATAGATTGTTTTCCTGCCCCAGAGTTTGGGAAAACAATCTACAAATGGGAGAGGTGGAGCAAAGATATTGATCTTGCTACTGAATTAACAAACTAAAACAATCATTTTTCGATGATATAAAATGTCAACTTTGGATTTTGCCCAATACCTAATCACACTGTTAAACTGTAGTGAAAATGGACAATCAATATTCAACTTTCATCATTTGATTTCAATACCCGAGACATTGATGGAAAAAAAAAGGTTTTTTTTAAAAAAAGGATACAACTGACTTAAAACGGCTGCTGTGATCATTTGACAATTCCAGCAAACCCACAAAAATTATACAAAACCACTGTACTGGAATTACTATTTTAATCAAGATGCACTCAAACTGTGACAGGCAGACATACGAAAAAGTATGTCTACTGGCATTTATAGTTTGAGTTAAAGTTTTAAAATACATAAAGTCATACAGTTTGAAATTCACAAAGTCATTCACCCATTACCAGAAAGTCAAAACTTTTCATGTATGACACAAGAAGAAATGGCTAAGGGCTGCTGTCCCCTTTTAAACAATACCCTAAATCCAATTGCGATTAAAAAAGTACATAAATGTGTATGTTTCCATTTGGGATTTGGATTTTAAAATAGAGGTAGATAGATCAGTTCTGATTTAGTCAGTTCTGTGAAGGTATTTTATTAAAAGTGTCAATTGGAACAATGGCCAGAATACATAATCGCAAGGCTGCATAGAAGGATTGGATTTTATCTTGGAAAATAACCTGCTGGGTTTAGAAATATTGGCTTCACCGGCAGCAGTGGAACAACTAAACGTAGTAAAAGCAAGTAAAGTGCTACAGAAGTATCATCTTGGATTGTTTGCTCATTATGTTGTGGCTAGATCACATGCCCAGCCAATTAATTGGAAACAGGCAAAGTCCATGTAAAATGGAGATAATTTGAAAATTTGGTTATCAGGCATTCTCAAAATCCTCAAAAATTTAAACAAGCATATAGGTACAGGATGAGGTCAGGATGTTTAGCCCACTTTCTTCAAGTAAAATGCAACAAGTGGATTCTGAATTAAGAGAACTGTATCAAACAGCCTTAGAAATTGATTCAAAAACAACATGCATTGTTATTTAGACAATTATTAATGAGGAAATGGAGACTACCTCAAATACCGAATAGTGAGGAAAGAACACTAGTTCATCAGGTGATAGTCCCATCTCAGTACTATAACAAACGTTTGTAAGTAGCTCTTGAAATTCTAATGGCAGGTCACTTATGAAATAGGAAAACAAAGGCTGAAGTACTAAGTCATTTTAATTGGCCAAGATTACACAAATATGTACTTACATTTTGTCAGATACGCCATACATGTCAGAACTTGGGGAAACTCCAACTATTAATTAAAACTGCACTTCTAATTCTGATAATTTTCAACTTTTGAATAACTGTTTAGTAGGGTTTTGACCTATGTAGAATTCTTACATTCCCTGACTGGAGAACTGCATTGACTCATTCCAAAAACTGATTTGTTTGAAGGTTTATTGGGAAATTCTACTGACTTATAGAACCATATAAACATCATTTTTGATAAGGCCAATCAGTATTACAAACAAAGTCATGCTGTTGGGCTGCTTGGGGCAGCACGGTGGCTCAGTCTTTAGCACTGCTGCCTCACAGCAGGGAACCAGGTTTGATTCCACCCTCAGGCGACTGTCCGTGTGGAGTTTGTACATTCTCCCTGCGTCTGCGTGGGTTTCCTCTGGGTGCTCCGGTTTCCTCCCACAGTCCAAAGATGTGCAGGTTAGGTGGATTGGCCGTGGGAAATTGCCCGTAGTGCTCAGGGATGTGTAGATTGGGTGGAATGCTCTGAGGGTCGGTGTGCACTTGTTGGGTTGAAGGGCCTGTTTCCATGCTGTAGGAACTCTATGAATGAATCCACCATTGACGTGCAATGATTAACCAGCCAAGCTACTGAAATTTTTTACAATAGTATTGTCTACTTTGTTTTACCCAGGCTTGGCTGAAAAGCGACTAAATCTTTCACACCACTTAAATGAACTGTTTGATCGGTTACAAAGAGCTAATTTGGTCATGTCTGGCTGAAAGTAAATTTTTCAAAATAACAGTGACTTAATAGGGGCCACACTGTAGGACATGGTCAAATAGCACTGAGGGAAACTAAAATAAGGGCAAATTTGGACCTTGACATGCCTAAGACAACATGTGAAATTCTGTAGTCTATTGGTACGAGTGAATTTTATCTGAAGTTCAATATTTCAGCATTTTATTGCAGTAAGGCAGAAAAATTTGCATGACCATAAGAATGTCAGAATAACTCTACCAGTTAAAGCTCTAACCCTCTTATGGAACTCTCCACACATACATACATACAGTCAGATACAGGCACAAAAACATTGCTGTTAAGGGTGGAGGGAGAAGTTGGCAAGTTAGTTCAATGATCCCTGTGTACTGGGTTTGTCAAGATTATCTAACTGCTTGTCAGGACGAGATTGCTACTCTTCAATCCCTTTTCTCCAGGTACTTTTCACTTCCTCGGAAGAGGTACAGAGTGACTGATTCACAAATTATAAAGTCTCTGACTATTCAGTTAAAAGTAACAGTTTACAGCAGTTAGGGAAAATAAACTGACTTCAGGCATTTTCTACTGCTGACAGAATTACCACCTCCTGTTCTGGAGGTCTAACAGTTTCTAGGAATATTGTTCATACTCTCAAGCTGTTTAGTTCCCAAGGAACCAATCACCTGGTTGTTGGCAGGCAGATGGCCTTTGTCATCACAGCTGATCACAACTTCACAGTCCAATCAAATCTCACTTTGTACAGGACCCATGCCAACCCATCTGCAACTAACCTCCCCCGTTGCTTTAACAAAGCAGCAGGATAAACGCCACTTCAAATAAGTTTTAGAAACTTTCTTTTAAAAGGTGCAACAATATCTTCTGCAACCTTCATTTTAAAAATAGTCCTTTACCCATTTCAGTCCACAATCAAAAATACAAAAAATTAAAGAAAACATCAAGACAAGTAATAAACAAAAAATGTAGCAAAAGTGAATGCATGTTGATGGAAACATTCTGTTCAATAAAATGTAGTGAATTGCAATTCATCAGCAAAATGGCTAACAATTCTGACAATACGAAATATTTCACAATTCAGGCCATCGAGTATGAGAGTTGGGGCATCATGTTGAGGTTGTACAGCATGTTGGTGCAGCCTCTTCTGGAGTACTGTGTGCAGTTCTGGTCAGCAGGCTACAGGAAGAATATTATTAAATTGTAAAGGTTCACAAAAGATTCACTAGAATGCTGCCAGAAATGGAGGGTTTGAGTTATAAAAATAAGCCATATAGGCTGGGACTTTTTTGACTGCAGCGTAGGAGGTTGAGGGGTGACCTTATAGAGGTTTATAAAATCATGAGGGGCATAGATAAAGTGGCTAGCGAGGGCCTTTTCCCTATGGTTGGGGAGCTCAAAACCAGGGTTTTTTTTAGGATGAGAGGAGAAACTTTTTAAAAGGGCACGAGGGGCAAATTCTTTTTTTTTTAAACAAGAGAGTGGTTCGTGTCCGGAACGAACTGCCAGAGGAAGTGGTGGATGAAGGCACAGTTGTAACATTTAAAAGACATTTGGATAAGTATGTGAATAGAAAAAAACTGAGCGATATGGGCCAATCTCAGGCAAATGAGACTACTTTAGTTTGGGAACACGGTCAGTACGTTTGGACTAATTGCTATGGACTATTTAGACTGAAGGGTCTGTTTCCATGCTGTATGACTCTATATGGACTTTACACTGTTTTAAAAAAATGTTCTTCCTGACACTGTTGATTCTTTTCCCAGTTCACCTTAAGTTTGTGTCCTCTGATTCTTGATCCTTTTTCTTATCTACCTAGTACAGACCCTTCATGATTTTGAATGCTGCTTTCAAATTTTCTCTCAATCTTCTTTTCTCCAATCTATGTATCTGAAGTTCCTTATCCTCGGAACTATTCCCTCAAATTTGATCCACACTTTTGCTAATGGCTTCATATCTTTCGTTAAGTGTGGTGCCCAGAAGTGGATGCAACACTAACTGATCTTATAAGCGAAGCAAAACGAATAATCCAAATTTGGAACCAAGAGCCAATATCATTTAGAACTACAAAGTGTTCTGGATAGATTTATAAACATAAACATAAAAATGAAGTATTGAATAAGAGAGAGAGTTTTAGGATAAAATTCAGCAAACGATAAACATTTTAACGTCTAAAGCTAGATACAGTTATTTCCTTTAACTTATCTCATGTACTTTGCTGACTCGTGGGTCTATTCATATGAAATCTCCCACAACAAACTAAAAATTAAAGTTCAAAATGCTTTCCAAAAATGATCTGCATTCATCCCTCACCAACTGCATGTAGGATATTTAACTGCATACAGCAAAATCAGAAGTTAAACTTCAAATTAATCTTGAATGTTAAGGTGCTTTGAAGCTGTGAAATTATTTTGTTTACTGCACTGTGAAATATATTGCTAAGCAAAACCCATTATCCCACATCTATCTCCTTGTCACAAGCTATAAAGTGATATTTTCTACACTAGGTTTTTTCATTTTAGATGTCCTGGTCCATATAAATGACAGTGTGTACTGAAAGGCAAAACAAATCACACACTTGCTGGAGATTTGAGTTTGGGAGGGGTTAGGGTTATAAAGGAGGGCCCTTATAATGTCACAGAAATTTTCAGGGTGTACGTCTTGTTGCTTTTCAGTTTCTCCTAAACTAAGTTCACGTAGGAAGGCTCAAGGTCAGGTTTCAATCCTGGAGATGAACCGAGTCCTCATCTAGCTGCTGAGTTCAACCAGAAGCAGTCGGGACTACAACACATGGGCAAACAGCCAAGTGAAGCTTGGGGGACATGCCTCCAATCTGGTCCCACCAGATTGTGCATCACCACCCAATGAAGGAAACTATACACGCCAAAGGCTGCACCTTCAAGCGGATAGCTCCCTGCCTTCACACTGACCAACTCTATCCTCATAAGGGCCTGCCCATCCTAACTGCCTGCATTCCAGAGCTGAAACAATGATCCTCCTGGGTGTGCTGCAACACTGAGTGGCCTATAGCTCTCCGAGATGAGAAATTCCTGCAAGAACCAGATATTTTGATGAAAGGATGGGATTTAATCCTGTTCTGTAAATGGTTGCAGTGTGGTTGTCACCAACTCTTGAGTCAGGGACAGGCCTAATGCCAAGATCATTATGTTCTGGTCAAGATTATTAATAAATAATAGTAATATTAAAGTGATTATTTCACCTTTCTGATGGTGAATCATGTTAGATCCAAAGAGGATCTTCTCACCCTTTTGCCACCTAAAGAGAGAACAAGGGGGTGAAGATATTCACAACAAATTCAAAAGGCATATGCTTCAGACAAGTATTCCAATCAAGAAACTGGCTTCTATCACAGCTGATAATGCATGAACCATACTGGGCATAAATGCAAATTTTGTTGCATTTTGCAGAAATCATCTCTTTGGTCAAATACCACTACATAATCCAACAATAAGCATTAATAGTAAAGTTATGAACTTTTCTCATGTAATAAACGTTGAGTTCGTACACATGGATTTGAACAAAAGCCCTTCAGCACTGCTCATTTAAATCCTTATTTGACGAACTCGATGCTGCCCATGGTGAACTAATCCTCCTCATTGATTAGGTGGTTAAGTTTTGAGAAAGGAATAAGGTGTGCAGATAATACGTGGTTGCTCGACTTCAGTTTCCTTACAGACGTCAAAACTGAATGAGCTGAACTGTGAACTGCAGGAAAAGGACATAGACTTAGCACAATATTAGCAGTGCTGAGAACGCATCTGAAGAAGGTAGCAAGGAATTCAACAGGAGTTTCAGGAATTCAATCTGTTGAAACAAATCATTGTGTTTGTCTCAAATCTAATCTTACAAATGAGCAGTGTGGTTAGCTAACAAATTCTATCAGGTGTGTACTTACAAAGTAGAGGAGATATGGAGATAATTACCTGTGCAAAATGATATTGAACTGAAAATCAGATCGGGGATAGTGATTTTGTGAACTCGTAAACAAAGAAAAATACTTGTAACATTTCCATGCTTTTAAAGTGAAAGCTTACTTTGGCTTCACATACCTCGGTGAGGCAGCATTCTGCCATTTGAAGATAATTTAGTCCAAGTATCATACCGCTTCACAGATAGCCATTTGATGGACCGCATACAGCTAGCAGCCTCAAACTAAATTCACTGGCAGATAATGTACCATTACAGGCGTCATACCGAGATTTGGTGAGTAGAAGACAAAACAAAATTTATACACAGGTAGTTTCATATAACACTAAAAATTAAACTGTTTATATTTTATTTTCTTCAGGGTAAATGCTGGGCTGCATTTTATTCAAAAAGTGATCTGTACTTAAAAAAGTTGAAGATCACGTATCCTGAAAATGCAATGCAGAAAGCCAAGATTTTCTTCAATAGCACCTTCCAAACCAGGATCTCTGCTATCTGAATGGACAAAGGCAGTAGATGCATGGGAGCACCATCAATTGCAAAATCCTTTCAAATCCACTCACCATCTTGAACAGATTGTTGAGTCAAAAATCTGGGAGGTGCCTTATTGATAGCACTGAGTGCACCTAAACACATGGACTGCAAAGGTGCAAGGCAGCGTACACTACCCCTCCTTAAGGGCAATTAGTGATGGGCAACAAATGTTAGTTCAGCCAGCAATGCCAACATCCCATGAAAGAATTTTTTAATATAATCTCTTCGGACAATGTTGAAAGAACAAGAAGACATCTGCATGAGTGAGCTGAATGTTCAATTATTGGCCTGAAGTCTTGGACAGGAACACCTTGATTAGGTCTCATATAGAATTGATACCTGGGTATAATTTGAGTGCTTCTGTTAACACTTTTACAAAGGTTTTCTTCATGTTTGCAGGTACTTACTTTCCTTTTTCTGCACTAATAAAGATATGAATGTTTTTACTAAGACAAATATTAAGCTTGAGAAGGTCATGGTGCGCTGCCTTCTAGAATATACCAGAGTGGCTTGTAAAGCCATTTCAGAGAACAGGTAACATCGATCACATTGCTGAGGATCTGTAGTAAAAGATAGGCTAGACTTGGTAAGGACAGCAGATTTCTTGCATTTAACAACACAAACAAATCAGTTGGAATTTTGACAACAGTTGTTAATTGTACATCATTATTGATTCTCATAATTATTCCAGGTTTATTTAATTACCTGAATTTAAATTCCCCAGGTGCAGTTGGTCCAGGTCTCTGCATTACTAATTCAGCAGCAAAACCACTATGTTAATATACCCCTTGTAAGAAATGGGACCTTATTCTAAAAAGCACAATTTATTAAAGTTAGAAACACTTCATAAAAAGGGATTTACATATCACAAGGTCACCTCAGCAAAGAAACTGTTTTCATTCGCTCTTTGGAAATACACAACAGTCTTTGGAAATATCAACAGAAAAAGCTCAGTTGGTCTGGCAGCTTCTGTGCAGAGAAATCAGAATTAACGTTTCAGATCCGTTCTGTTCTGTTCGGAGGAAGGATCACTGAACCCAAAACTTTAACTTTGATTTCTCTGCACAGATGCTGGCAGGCCTGCTAAACTTTTTCAGCAACTTCTGTTTGTTTCTGATTTACAGCATCTGCAGTTCTCTTCGTTTTTACTCTGAAATATCAATGTCTCTTGGCTCAAGTTTCCATGTTGACATTCCTAAGTTGTAGGATGATGTATCCTGTGTTTCCTTCTCTATGGAAGCGTTGAGAAAGGTCTAGCAAATGGCATTCAGATTAACAAACTAAAAAAAGTGGCCTCAAGCTGGGAGAGGGAAAGCAAAAGAGTCTTGACACCTTGAACACCAGTCCTCTAATTCATTAGAAGATTTCAAACAAATGATTGATTTGGTATAAATTAACAGCCTCTAGGAATAAAGTATGTTTAAAATGACTTCTTCAGGTGGCAGGACTTATCAGATAGCTAGCTACCTTAGATGGAAGATGGGCCAGGAAAGATGGAGGAAGACCAAGGGATTTTATTCTTTTATCAGTTTTGGTTTGAAACTGAGAACTGAGTGGAAAATGGCCTTTGGATTATGGGCAGCAGATGGTGTCAAAAAAAAAAAAAAAAAAACAAACGAGCTGTCGTTTGTTTGAGAGACCACACCTGGCTTAATTATAAGTTGGATCTTGATCTAAAGGTTCTACAAACGCTTTGACACAGGGAAGAGCAGTACGTTTAAGCAGATAGTAGATGCTGGCCAGGACCTAAGAACTGGTTTAGCAAGTCTGGGAGAGACCTTATACTCCAGCAGATGGGTAGATTTTGAATGGCAACTGGTACCTCATGGAGAAATGGTCAATTTGACATGGAGAGGCTAGAATTTTGAATTAGGTTTTGAACTGTGTTCCAGGAACAGGAGTTTGGCTGTTGATGGGAGAGCATTAAAATCTAAACACTCCCTGTCTATTCTCCCATTATCTGCCATTGAAAGTTCAGAGAATAGAAATTAAGTTAGAAGTATCACTTCCTCTGAAGAACTGAAAAGGTGGCCCTGATTGATTCTTAATTGATAGTTTCAGAAAATCAATCATCTACGCCTTGCGAACAATGCATCATGAAAACCACTCAAGTAATCTGGCTTGTTTTATTTATCCCTTAACTGTGTTTGTTTTCTCATCTGTTTTTTTATGTGAATCAGGGTGGGGGAACAAGTTAACAAGTTGGGGTTTAAACATAGATAGCACTTCGATTACTTTGTTTAATTTTGCTCTGCTAAGGTTACTGTACTGTTAATAAATTGCAAAGTCTTTTGTTTAAACTACAAACTGATGTCAACAATAAATATTTGCAGAGTCTATGATTGGTTACTCAAAAGTCTGATCAGGAACCTGTTGGAGTCAATTTTGAGGATCTTAGGTTTTAATTTTACTGTGTTGCAAATACAGAAGTAAAAAGGCTGATGTGATTGACAGTCTGTCTCCATACTGTAATAGTGCCAATTGTCCATTTGTTTCCTGGTATGTGTGAACCACATAACTGTCTTAGGTTGTATATTTTCCTGTCTAGTTATCATGTATCATATCTAAACTATTATTGTATCTCATCTAAACCATTCTTAATAATCATAAACCAACCACCTTAAATACATGTACAATGAGTTGACTGCCTCCCTTATGAATTTGTAGCCCATGAATCCAAACTCTTATATCCTGAAGTACTTTTATTTCCTTCTGGGGAAGTGCTTAGTGCAGCGGAATCTATTTGTAACCACATACTCTAAAAAGGAGTCTTGGGATAAGGCCTATTCTAATTGGATAACTGTACTCCTGGTTTCTATTGCTTTATAGCTAACACAATTAGACTGATGATGACATGGAACTAAATATGGTTGATCTTTCAAAGAGCTAGCACAGGCATAACAAGCTTCCTTCTGTGGAGAGGTATCTATACAGCAATGACAGATGTTATTCAGTGCACTGTCTCAATCAGTTTTTACTTACCTGCATTTTCCTCATCTCACTGCATATTTCTCTTTATGATTCCCTTTGAAAGTTATTATCGAATGTGTTTGCACCACACTTTCAGGAAGTAGATTTTCAATCACAATAACATATTGCATAAAATAATTCTCATCTGCACCTGCTTCTTATTTAGCAATCATCTTAAATCTGTGTCCTCTGTTTACTGACCTTACTGCCAATGGAAACAGTTTATTCCTAGCTACTCTATCAAAACACCTCATGGTCCATTTCTTTCCGTTACTATCACAGTATGTTGTAATCATGAAGATAGAGAATGGGGAAAGTACTTGCCTATTGTCATTAATTGTCCACTTGCTGAGGCCATGGTCAACTGAAGAGTACAAACTGCCCTCTATGATAGCAGTTTCTCCTTTCATTCCGACTTGCAAATGACCTGGTGACAACTGGAAGTCTATGTTCTGTTTTGTGGTGTTATCTGGTAGTTGAATGTTTACTGTCAGATCTTCATCTGTCTGCTGCCAATGATATACCGGTTCTGTGAAATTAAAATCCATTTCTCACCATTACTAACCGAAACGAAACACAACCAGCTACCTCCCGTATCTTCTCCCCGCTCACACAACCACAGTCTTTTTTGGTGGGCTACTGTAGAGGAAAATTAAAGGTAGCAAATGTTTCATGAATCTAATATTTTAGGACACTAAAATGTCACTCTCTTGTGCAACGCTCCACATAAATGATACATACGCGCACACTTTTTTTTTTTACTCGAAGCTTTTCTCCAATTACAGAAGACAGCCGAGAGAACATTGCGGAATTTTGAATTTATATGGGTTGGGTCAGCCCAAATTGCAACAGAAATAAATTCTAGAGAAAACACTGATTATCCTCCTTTACAAC